CGGTAAATAGAAATGGATCCCTCAAATATGGCGTTCGGCTTTCCAGGACTCCCCAACCACGGACACATGCCGATACCACCCACTGCCAATATGCTGGGCGGTCATCCGGCGCCCACCGCCAGCCCACCGCAGAGCGTCCCTGGCCGAAGGACGCCTTTGGGATCGGTTGGTCTGGGTGGCTTCTACGCCCAGGGAATGGGGGGAATGTCCATGTCCCAGCCACCGACTGATGAGAACAAGCCAGGACCCAGTGGCCAGGAGAAGCCGCTGAGTCCCACGGCCGCGGCCATTGCGGCAATAAGTGGTGGCACCACCACTGTGGCCGTATCCAGTGGGACGAGTTCTGGCGCCGGCGGCAGTGGATCAAATGGTGGCAAGCAGAAGAATCGTCAGGGGAAAACCGTGAGGTTAAACATCAATGCCAGGGAGCGGCGAAGGATGCACGATCTGAACGATGCCCTCGATGAGCTGCGGAGTGTTATTCCCTATGCCCACTCGCCCTCGGTGAGAAAACTGTCCAAGATAGCCACCCTGCTCTTGGCCAAGAACTACATACTTATGCAGCAGAATGCCCTCGAAGAGTTGAGGAGGTAAGAGATGATAGGAAAATATATAAAATGTTTAGTTTTTCAAAAAGAACACCAAACTAATTATTTATTTAATTTTCAGACTTCTGGCCTATATACAAAGCACAACGGGAGCCGCTCCCTTGGACTTGGGCGCCTTTCCAGCGGCTGCCAAATTGCAGGCTCTGCTCCAAGGACCTCACAACGAACCACCCACCAGCAGCAATAGTTAAGTAGCCGGGATCTCCAAAAATAAAACTGGTCCCTCGTATAAACAAGCAATGGATAAACAAGCAATATTTTTAAGCCAATTGGAAGAAAGCCAAATAATTGTGTACTAGTCAGACGAGCAGAGGTCGAGGAGGAAGCCTCTTGTCAGAGCAGCCAAGTGAAAATCTGTTAAGTGATATTTAGTTTTGCCATAAGCATTTCATTTTCGTGCATTTACATAATGTCAAGGTCTTTGTATTACCGAATAAAGTATTAATGAAATAGAGAAGGAATATATATTAGTTTTATATAAGTAAGTGGATAATTTACTAACAAGTTCTGTTTCACAACCATTAAAAATAATCCAGCTTCCAGTTTTAACTAAATCCCTTTAATCAGTGAAAAAGCCAGAATCACAATTTAAATAATTTAATCTTAAATCCGTTTCAAGTCTTTACAAAAATATACAGCATCATATAAATAAACACACATAGTATTCTGCCGAATGGCAATTGATGAGCGAGCAAAAGCAATTTGCGAAATGCGAAATAGACTGATTAAAGCTAGACACAAAATCGATGAATACTCTAAAGACATAAATATACAGAGACGTGTGTGGAGGACGGCGGCGGAAGCGATCGATTAACCGGGCGATCGCCGATGGATCATCTGACACTATTATTCCGGTATTCCCGAGGACAGAACCTTGTTTTGGCCGGTGCGAAAAATATGCTGCTTGACCGGCAGCTCTCCGATCAGAAAGTCTCTCATCAGTTCGACGGCATCGCGGGAGTGTCCGGTGCCATGGAAGGCGATTGTGGCATCCCGTCCAGCGTGATCCATGATGACGTCGTCGCCGCCGGGATGATCCCTCAGGAAGTGTGTGACATCGTAAACGCGATCGTAAATGACAACCCAACAGTCGTCAAAACTGTCGTGCTGGGCCACCTCCTCCAGCGAGATCTCCGGCAGATCTGTCACCTTCAGGCGCTCCTTCTCACTGGAGGCCACCATTGCCTTGCTGCCGAAGGGCACAATCCTCAAAGATTGCAAGAGGTTGGTCAGAGCCGATGACATTTTGTAATTAATTAACCGGCCTTTCACTTTTCTGTCGCACTTGTGGTGGTTAGTCGTATATTTTGTAATTCCACACAGTCACTACAGACAGTCTGGAGTCAGGTTGAGAGTTGAGTTCCGCTTGATCGGCTTCTCAGTTCCAGTTTTTCTCTGGTCTTTGCGAGTCTTGTGTGTCTTGTACAGCCACCGTCACTGGAGTGTCAATCATGCCTTGGATTGTAATCGTTTTATAAATGACAACACGTGAATAGAGCTTCAGAGCCGAGCGAAAAGTGATAAGACTTCGGATGTAAAACACGAAGTTTCCAACGATCGGCTTGTACGGGGGGTATCTCCAAAGAAAAATGTATGAAGTCGGTTCCACAGAAATCGTAAGGGGGTCTAAAAGCCTTAATAAGATATCTAATGCTACAAAACTTTACAAAACCAAACGGTAATGCTGATTATCTTGTCGACTTAGTAATTAGATTAGAAATAATATAATATCTAAAAAATATAAAAAATTAGACAGTAAACATTCACTGCAAATGTGGTATTTAAAGTTTAAGAGAGAATTGGTATAAGGACAAAAATTATCAGTAAAAATATATTTGAGTACCTACAAAGTCTAAGGTAAATTAAGGTAATAAAAAATATCATTTTTAAAATAATTAACACCCCTGTGGAAATTCCCATATGTGGGAAAAATATTAGAAAACTAGTTTATTCATGGGAGGGCTCTTTACATCGGCTTTGATTGCGAGATTGTGTAATAAAAGCTTTTATTAATTATAGTTTAATAAGTCGATTCCCCAACATGCTCCGGCAGATGAGCATAAGGTAAGAGCTGTTCTCTTTTCAAACCAGATTTACTACCTGCTACCTGATAAGTTTAATGAGCATTTAATTTAAAAGGAACATTTGCGGCGGGCTTATCAGCATTACAATTGATTTATTGGCACAAGTCAAACGTGCACCGGGCGAGTCAATTGCGTCTACCATTCGAACCGTTTGATCGCAAGTCATTTAAGTAATCAAAATACGTTTTGGGTTAATAGCCTGCCGACACAATCAAATTCAAATAAATTAAATGCGCTTTCAAGACCTCAAAAATGGCTGCACAAAGTAATTATTCAATTTGTGTCACGCTTCTGACGTTTGTTCTCAATTTTTCGAAGGCGCGTAATGGGAACAAAAATTATTCTGAATTATCGCTAAATACAAAACTTTGAACTTGAATTTGGCTTGAATAGAAATTCAAAAATGATGCCACGCTTTTGAACTTGCTGAACTATCAGAAGGCGTTTTTTTTCTAATTGTTTATTATATGCGAGTAAGTACTATATACAATAATGGTTGCGAAATCAAAAAAGGCTGATGAAATTAGTCGTAGTATTTAATTTGCATATAATTCATTAGCCAGACAAAACGTAATTGGAATGTTTTCAACAAAGTATTTATTTATAAACAACTAGACAACCAAAACCGTTGCATAAAATATAAATTAAATACCAGAAAAATCTGATTTTTTTAACTAAGTACCCAGAAAACCTGGGGTTTAATTTATCCATAAGCAATATTAATATTATCCGCAGAAAAACAACTAGCTTATGTGTTTATTTATTTAACTGCGTCACAAACAAAATAAATATTATTTCAAGAAACTTAGTTTTAATCTAAGCTAGTCATAAAAAGTATTATTTAAATAATAAAGTCTTGCAAAATGTTATTTGCAAAGTAAACACGTCACATTTAAATTGTTATTGAACAATTGTTATTTTTAAATGGGTTCAAGTTTGCTTTATGGTTTCCACGACATTTAGAAATTCAATACCTCAACAAGTCAGTGTTAAGATCAGCATCATCACGTTCAATAACGCCCTCAAACCGCACAAAATTGCCGCGTAATCGTAATCGAAAGTATTATGAGACGTAAAACTGGGCTAAGCCACTTGACTTTGACTTTGAGGTCAAACCCGAGTGCGTGCAGCCATATCAAATATCTCCAAAGCCCAAGACATAGCCTGAGAACGACTCTAAGATGAATTTGCGCACTATCTGGACCCCAAATGTAGGGTTATCTTCTCTATTTAACACGCTTTCGGAACATGCGTCAAGATTTTCGGGAAAAAGGCAACCGCCTTTTATGACTCTGTCATTTTTTTTATTAATGACGAGAATCACTGTTATCAGACTATGGTCTAAGAAATGTGTAGACGCTGGGATCAAAGTTGTATTTCGACAAGTTCCCCCGGTCCGAGCCGGACGTTTGCAAAAATTCCGAGATAAGCTTAAAAAAATGTGCGGACATTTACCTTCAAGTTGATTGCCAAGTCCATGGTTGGAAATGTTTCGATGAGTAAGCTTAAAAAAAGAGAATAATTTTTTGTTAGTAATTAATTCGAAGTGGTAAAGTCGAATTAAGCTATGCACTTCTTGTGGTGCATTATATTTTCTTAAACTTTCTGTTTAAGATCTAAAAACTAAGAAGAAAACTAACTAAGCATAGGTAAATGTAATAAAACTTAATATTCTTTTATCAATTCAAAATATATCATCAGGTTATGAGGACAAATAAGATATTAGATATTAAATATAAAGAAGATAATTAAATTAATGAGAGAAGAAACGATTCTTTTAAATAAACATGCAATATTTGTTATACCAATAACTACGACAAATATGTTCTATATTTATATATATATAACTTATATTTTCTCTTATATATTTAATATTAAAATATGGCAACGCCAAAAATAACAAAGCTCTTTGAAAGGCAAAGCTATCTGGCAAGAGGTTCGAATAATAAACCGCTTGGGATTTGGCGCGCTTTTCAGAAAATGAGCCAGCTGTTGCTTGTGGAAAAGCTTTACCCTAAAATGGCTTTTTATTCCTTACAGTTTCATAAAATAGCCGGTTTATGACAAAAAAGAACTCTATAACTTAAAGTTGGAGGTGACAGTTTTGCTACTAAAAAATAATACAAAATGCCTCTGTTAAAAAGGAGTTCCGGTAAAAAGTTTTCCTAGAAGAATGCAAGGTTTTCCTTTCGGAATACGTATGTGAACGTGTGTATGTTTGCTGTAGTGTGAGTGTGATGGAACCTGACATCGGGGGAACTGCGTGTAATTTTCGGTGAACAACAACACAGTCGAGTTTCAGCAACGCTCTGGTTAAGTTCTTGAAGCGCGTGAACCAAAAAATAAAAGAAGGAAAAATTCCCCGCTTTCAGTTAACACCTCTTCACGGATAAATTTATGGAAATAATTGACCAGTGTGCCCAGGGGATTATTGAATTACAAATTTATGAAAGCCTGCTAATAAGGAAATTGTTTCGCAAAACTCGTTAAGGACCCCAAACACGCACAGTATGCGCTGCTCCATATAGCGCATACGCCACGTTGAACCATCAAAGGATTTCGTAAACATATTGTAGCGGAAAATTGCATGCAGCAATTTGAATAACAAAATTGTTTGCACAGTTTCTGTTCGGCTTTGTGTCGCCGATTTACAAATAATCGAACGGTAAGTGCAGATTTTCTTTGATTTATGTGAACTTGATTTACATGCAAATTTCGAAATGGTTTTAAATTTTTGCCAAAAAAAAGTAAAGTTCTTAAATATTTAAAGTTGCTTCATTGCTTTGAAGTTGGTGTAATATCTAGATGGGGCAATGCTTTTGTTTGCCAAATGTAATTGGAACTTTTTGTCCGACTAAATTGAATTTCTAGAGTCTGCAGGAGGCTATTCCCAACTTTTGTTGTTAACTTGAGCTAGTCAGTTTTATTTGGAAATGGTTTTGTGTGAAAAGTTCAGCGTAATTTTCCTGGGAAGCGGGTCTAAGGGAAATTGTTTTGAAATTGAATCTGACCAAGGGGAAGGGCCATGATCTTTTTTGACATTCTGACGAAGTTGGCTAACAAAATTATGGAAATTGTTGACCAACAATTGAACGTGTCCTTTTGAGTCTTCACTGTAATTTGTAGTAGAGGTTTACGCCGATGGTTAAAGGCATCGGCGGCGGCGTAGAGGTCAAAATGACTCGGCGGCGGCGGCGTAGTAGTCAGAAAGAACCGGCGGCGGCGGCGCGTCAAATAAGGCAAAAAGGCCATTTTAATGAGTTATTTTTTTTTTTTTAAGTTTTATAAAGAACAATGACACTGAAGGCCGCGCTGAAGCTGCGCCGATGCCGCACCAGCGGCGCGCCGCGGCGCGCCGTTATTTTCATAATTTGGCGGCGGCGCGTCAAATAAGGCAAAAATCGGCGGCGGCGGCGGCGTGGCGCGGCGGCGTATATGTCTAATTTGTAGTAATTTTAAAATTACCAAGCACTCGTTTCTTGTTTATTATTATTTAGCTTACCTATCACTGAAACAAAAAGCTATATATTTCCTATTTTCAAACATACTGCAAACATATTGCGTTACACCCATAATATTTTCGTATCAGATTTTCCAAGTAATGTTTGCTTTGGAAAATGCTTTGCTCGAAGTGCCTTTTTTGGTTGATTACTGATTAAAAAGATTGCATTGCGTGTACGCCGTGTGCAGTCGCCGTGATTAAAGTACGCCGAAAGCCAAGCAAAGGTATTTTAATTTAATTAGTCGAGAAGAGAGTGCTTCTCGCGATGGATGGATTCCGACATATGCTGAAGTCCTTACCCAATTTGCCGTATTTCGGTTGAAAAGCCAGCGAGGATTTCCGTTCACAAAACCGAAAATTCCTGAGCCGCAGGCTGTTTAACCTGTCGGAGGAGCAGAACCCAGCAGAGCCCAGGAAACCGAGAAGTGCGCCCTGCGAACTGCGAACTCAGAGGGCAGCCACTCAAACACAACAACCATGTCCTTGAAACACCCGCATTCTGGCCGTGACCCCCGACCTCCATTCCGGAGCTCTCTCTGCCGACCTTCGTCTCGCTTTTGGCCCAATATATTGCGTGTCAGGCAGTCAACAGGCTGCACTAAACTAGTGCATTTATTACGTCGGCCGTCTCATCTCCGAATGCCGAGAAGCCATGAATATTTATCACGTGTCCAAAGAATAATGCATTTTTAATGCAAAAAACGTCGCCCGAAACCCACCGTTCATATTGACGAGGCCATAAAAAGGGAACCCAGAGTCAGCCAGCCAGCCAGCAGGCCATGTTTGCTAACTTGTTGAGTTATTGGCAGCTCTTTAGCCTCTGGCTCCCCATTGGGGTCCTTTGCGTGGGCGTCTGAGCGGGTTTTCCTTTGTCCCAAGCCCAAGTATTAATATCACACTTATCATTACTTCCGTAGCCCTGTATGTTGCCCTCATATCTTTCTTTCTTCCCTTCGCTCGTGCTGAGTGCGCTTGTAAACATTTTTTTCACTGTTTACTTCTTAGGCATTTTCAGCGTTTTAATGAGCGTTTTATTGTTTATTTTTATGCTCTTGCTCGTCACTAGACTGGGGCGCATAACTTTGGGTCACTTTATTAAATTGCTGTTTATCTTGCCGTCCCAGTGGCGTTGTGTTTTATATTATTTTTACGTTTTTTTATTTTCAATATTTTCCTTTGTGCCCCGCTGGCCTTGTTCCATGGTTTAATGGTCTGTGGCGAATTGACATATGGTTGTTGATTTTAATGGGATCTTTTACATCGCTTTTATCGCTTATACTGGGTTTGACGAGTGGTTTGCGAGTGAGAGTGAAAGGATTGCCAGGAATTTGGTTGAAAAACGGTTGTGAAATTGTTTGGAAACATTTGTTTCTTTTTATGTAAATTAAAAAATACTTTAAAGTTTTGGAAAAATGTATAACAGCTCTATATATAGAGTAGAGTATTTAATTAATGAATCTGCCAGGAAAGAAGTAACATTTCCCGGATTGTTGTTATGATTTTGATAGATCAATTTACACCATTCCCCAAGGCCGAATCCAGCTCTCAGCTTGGAGTACATCCCTTTTATCCCCGCCATAAGCCATAAATATTCATTGATGGCTAATTAGCAAAGACTATGATGGGGTCACCCGCCCCATTTCCGTCCCTCTTCCAAGCCCTATCCCAATGTCCTTACATTAAGGACAACAACTGAGGCTGCCATCGCCATCGACGGCAGATAATCAACTCGAATAACAAAAACAGAGATATAACGTGGGGGAAGAGCGGTCGATAATGATGTTGCCGATGTGGATAAACTAGCGCCTCGACAGTGTCATTACAGCGAGTATTACAAATTGCTGATGCCTGATTATTGACGGTCAGGAGACCTCCGCATCCGTCAACTCTGGAGGCCAAAAGGGTCGCGATGGAGCAACTTCTGCTGCTTGTTTATGCACACCGAAGGTTCTCCTGTTTTTCCATCTGTAGTTCATAAACCTGCTGCGGATGAGTTAAAGCCAAATGAAACTTCATGGCAATGCAGGATGGAGGACACGCGTATGAAGGATTCCAGGCCGGCAGCCTTCAGAAGTTTGTAAATACACCTGGGCCGTGTTTGTATTACCTACACAGTAAAAATAAGAGCTGCCAAGATGAATTTAATAAAAAATTGCAAAAGAGAGATTATTATTCAACAAATATTATGCAAGTAAAGTAGACTGTGACTCGTTCTATCTTTGGACATAAATAATAAATAAATTACACAACCTATTACAATAAAAACACTCTTGGTGAATCTTATAGTTTAAAACATAATGAAAATTTTTTCGTACGCCGGGAAAACTGAAAAGGATGAGCACTGTTTTGTTTCGGTCACTCTTTTGTCCGGCATTGCAGGACAACAGCAACACGCTTCTCCTCTTGGACCTGATGTCGTAATTTAATTACTGTTGCCCGGTTGCCACGGATGGGTGTGTGCAACAAAGCTCCGGGAGAAAGAAAAACGCTTTCACAATACTCTATGGCAGGAAAAGTCGAACAATGCGGAAGGCAGGAAGGATAGGGGCAAAGTGCTTCCGGAAGTCGAGGAAAAATGATAGTTTAATGGAACTTGTTTAGTGAATTAATGAAGCTGAGTTGAGACATTTCCGGTCAATCTAAATCATTTTGTTAGTGAAAGGCAACACGAAAAAGTATGCTATGCTTAAGAAATTTATAAAAAATTCTTGAATTCACTTGGGGAGACATATCTTGAAGGAAAATGTAACCAGACTGTACCTCTGAATTATCTTGAACTTTAAGCTAGTTAATTTCGCAAATTATATATAATTTTCAGTCTGCTGAACTTTCTATGCTTAAACTCTAAACTTACTCCTGGCCGCAGGATAATAGAGTACTTTGATAATCCGCCTTGCTGTCTGCTGCAATTGTCCGCACGCCCTGGAAACAAAAAGAAATAAAAAACAGCAGGGCGTGGATTTATCAAAGTAATGGAGTTGACATTCCAACTCGACTCTTTGGGCCACAGAACACTTCATTAGACTAATGAACATAATTTTGCGTAATTGTGCGATTCGAGGACGCCTCCCTCCGGGGCAATGGGAATGCTGAAAGGCATCCTTATCTGTTTATTTTTTTTTTAAGAGCGAATGATGAAATCGCAGAGGCCAGCTGAGGCCAAAGGAAATCACGGGCATGGGCGCACACACCGTTTTCCCAGGCAGGCAATGAACCATGCGGTTGATTTTATCGATTAGATAAACTTAATTTTAGTCGCTCTGTCAACACATTACCAGACTTGGCCAAATGCGCGCGGTCTATGTATTTCTGGCCTTGACTTTGTGTGTGCGGCTGCGACGCAAACAGAAAGCCGCACAGGCGGAAGTAGTGGTGCTGCCGCTTATCTAGGTTTTCCAGCGAAAAGTGAAAATGTGCATGATAAAGGCGGCCGCAAAATGATTTACAAAGCCAACCGAAAAACCAGACAGTCGCCTGTCGAGTCCACGGGGCCAGAAAGCGCGGTTTGTGTATTAAAATTTATGACACTGGCAATAAATCCCTATGCCCACAGGCCCACAGGCCACACCACACACACACACACACACACACACATGCGTGAATGATGCATGTGGGCAAATACCAGGCCCAACTAGGGAGCTGCAGGTGGTGGTGGTGGCTTGGCATTCCTCAAGAATACCCTTCTAAGTCTCTTGGAACCAACCATATGAGCTGGTAAGCCAGAAATACAGAGATTTGTGAGATTATAAATAATAATTTTCAGTCGAATTTAAGTCAAGATTTATTATTATTTATTTTCACAAAGCATTTTAAATTACTTAGTAAATGTATGTATCATTATATTTATTTATTACTTATTACTTTAGAAACTTTTTCTTAGAAATAAATATTTGATTATTTATTGCTTATAAAACCATATAGTAATTTATCCTACTAGAGTTAAATAATATAAATATTTAAATTCAGCTTTTATCCTCCATAAAGCCAATTCATACAGTTCAACAAAAACATGATAATGTATTATTTAATCCCTTTGGGAAGCTGTGTTATAAACTCAATAACGGAATTTAAAAAAAAAAATGTAGCCCTATTTAAATTAAAGGGTATGACAATTGATTTTAACCACACATAACCATGTGCCAGGACAAGGATTTCGTGTCGGGACAAAAGCCGACGGAGCGGAGGCGGCTAAATGACGGAATGATTGAATGACTGATGATGTGGGGCGCGGCAGTGTGATCTGCTCAATTTGACATTGATTGGGTTATGTGTGATTTATGTCAGACGGGAGGGTGTTCAGGGGCATCAAAATAAAAGGTAGGTGATATAAGTTCGATGGCTTTTCCTTTTTTTTTGCCATATTTCCCAGGGGACTAAGGGCAGATTGACTGGCAAAAAGATTTCCCTCTTAAATGCTGCTTCGCGAATTTTTCATTAATTTACAGCTCTTCAGCTTATCTTGGCAACTGTCAAAGATTAAATTAAAACTAATTTCATAAATTTTCCAAGCCCTGCCGTCACATTAAGGCCGAGATATTCAGTCGAGAGGCACCTTACTTGAGCACAAGGGCACATAAATCATTTCCCCGGGACTTTACAAGGATCTCTTTAAAGGGAGCCGAGTGTAAAGGGAACTGAACCCGCATTCACACACCTCATGCGATGGCAATTGCTATAAAAGAAAGCGTAGACCCCAAAACAAAAGTTGCGCTTAAATAAATAATGAGTGAAAAGTAAATTTGCCGAAATTGCCCAGAAAAAGGGGTGCAAGTGGGCGATGCCAGGGCTAGGGCAAGGTCCAGGGGCAGGGAAGGACGTCGGACTCATCCAAAGGTGGCTTACAAATATAAATATACTAATTAATTAACAACTTGGTTAAAAATTTTTGGCTTTTTGAACAGACGTCGCTTCATTTTGTTGGCAGCTTTCTACGTACTTTACATTTCTCCTGCACAGAAAGAAATCGGAAGGGGTTTCTTATACTTTAAATAAATATATTTTCTGTATTTATTAAACTACTTTTATTTGTAAAGTAATTAGTTTTTACTCAAAACATGAGTTCACATTCCTCTATGTTAAAGCGTAAAATTAAAAGAAGAACTTTAAAATCTTCCTGTGATTTAACAAGTTTGATGGTGAGCTCATACCTCTGGCTTTTGTTTGAAGTGTTGTTCTAATTTTGCAGATTTTGTAGGGGTGCCTGGGTTCGGGGTCACCTGGCAGTTTGCTCAGCTAATTGCGGACTAACCGAGGCCGAGGCTGGGGCTGAGGAGCCTTTATGGCAATTTTGTGGCTGCGGTCGGCCAGAGACAATGCCTGGTCCCCTCATTTTCCACCTATTGTGGCCAGGATGCTGTCAGCACGTGCCTGTGGTCAGGATTTTAGGGTGCCCGAGCCAGCACTACTACCACCTTAAGCCGCTCAATTAATAACCCACAAAGCTGGCGAGCGGAGAAGATGAATGTCGGACGTGGGGACCCGAGCTTTGATTTATTTATGAGGCGCACACACACATCCAGGGTCCTGACTTGCTAATGAATGTTTTATGGCTAGTTTGGGTGTCATTAGCCGCCAGGTGGAGATGCCTCTAATATAGAGGGGGTCATGGCGAGTAATTGACCCACGTTTCCAAGTCACTTAAAGGAGCCTTCTCTGACCCTTTGTCTCCTTGCAGATTTTGCACCCCTTCAAAGGAAAATAAAATGGACATAGTCATACGCGAGGAGGACATTTCGCTGGCCCAGATTGGAGTCTATGCCTCGGTATCCTTTTTGGTGGTCACAGCGGTTGGGGCAGCCCTCTACACAACTTGTTCGAAGCGCTATCGCCTCAACTGGTTCGAGCAAAACCTCCTGGAGTCGGCCAACGAGAAGGATGAGGATCAACAGAGGTGGGCATTGAAAGTATTTTTGTTGTGAAAATGGTACTTTTGTTATTAATTTCTTTAAAAGCAATTAAAGCAATGTATTTGCATGTCATATATGTTTTATTTTGTTCAAACATCCTGGCAAAAAACATTACTTTTCAATTAAAAAAATGGCAGGTCCTGTGAAAAATAATTTACATATTTTTCTTGTTCCAAAAAGCACTCCTGTTGCTTCAATCTGCATATTAAAGCCTCAATTGTTTTTGTTTCATTTCAGCCGGGAGGCATTGGTCGGCTATAATGTGGACAACCTAAACGAGGTGCCGCGTGGGAAATTCGGAGCTGGAAATGGCGGCAACCTGAGCCCCACCTCGCTGCGCAGCGAGGACAATGACCCGGCCTTTTGGGTACCGGCCTCGGTAACCTCCAGCGCCACGGCCGCCATCCAGCAACAGGTGTCTAACACCACCGAGGAATCGGCTCCGCCCACACCCACCTCGCCCACCGGAAGCCTAAAGTCGAATACATTGTCATACTGCTCCACGACCTCGGTACCCATAGCCAGATCCGATAAGCATGTTGTCCTGGCCATGCATCCCAGTCGGCCGAGGGTCTCCTCCATGAATGCCAAGTTGGATCACACGAAAATTGATATGACCCTTTACAGAAGCGTGAGTCAACGGATAACCCTTTTCGCAAAACAATGTGTCCTTTTTTAGACCCGAGAAAATCTCAAAAATCCTTTGTCATGTTTATTATGAAGTCTTTAAATATTTTCCTTAAATGAATTATACAAAATTATATTACTTTATTTCTTTAATTTATTAGCACTCTCAGCCAAAGACCATAAATCCAGTTTCCGTGAATGAAGTCCGGGGCAACTTGCATGTGAGCATTGGTTATGATCCTGTAGGAGGATTGCTAAATGTGCGACTGCTTGAGGCCCAAAATTTGCAGCCAAGGCAATTCAGTGGCACGGCGGATCCCTATGCCAAGGTTCGATTGCTGCCCGATAAGAAGAACTTTTGGCAGACGCGTATACACAAGAAGACTTTGAATCCAGGTGAATTTTTTTTAAGAAAATTTGCAATAAAAGAGTTTATACTATACTACAAATACATTCATTAACAGTTTTCGATGAGCAATTTGTGTTCGAAGTCGCCGCCGGCGTAATTGACAAGCGAACTGTGGAGATTTTGCTGTACGACTTCGACGCCTATTCCCGCCATGTGTGCATCGGCGGAAGTAAATTGCATCTGGCCAACTTGGATCTGAGTGAGCAATTGAATCTGTGGACCCCCTTGAGCTCCGCCTCGGCCCAGGACATGAAGGTGGATCTGGGTGATATAATGGTTTCCCTGGCTTACTTGCCATCGGCAGAACGCTTGATGGTTGTCCTGATCAAGGCCCGAAATCTGCGTATTGTGGACGATGCCCGGAACTCCTCGGATGCGTATGTGAAAGTGACTCTATTAGGGCCAGGCGGCAAGAAAATGAAGAAACGCAAGACGGGTGTGCAAAGGGGCACCCTGAACCCGGTGTATAATGAAGCGCTGGCCTTTGACGTCAACAAGGAAACCCTTAAGAATTGCGTCCTAGAGTTCACGGTGGTCCACGATGGTTTATTGGGTGAGTGGAAAAGGGATACTTCTACTTGACACTTAATTATTCCATACATTTCATATATAATTTAATTTTTACTCTAGGTTCCAGCGAGATTTTGGGTCGCACTTTGATTGGAAATTCACCGGAAGTACGGACTGAGGAGAAAATCTTTTTCGAGGAAATATTTCGAGCCAAAAACGCGACAGCCCAATGGGTTCCACTGCAGGAGCCGGCGACAAACTTGGCCACCACAGCCAAGGCAGCAACCAGCAAGAACTAGCTTCCACAGCTGCCAGCGGCGTTTGGTTTGTGTCTAAGATGAGCTGGCAGTGGTGGCTGTAAAAGTAAGTTATTTTTTGGTAAGAACTGTAGAGGCGTCAAACCACCGGAAGTACCGATGTAACAAGACACGTATGAACATGTAGAGATAATGTAACGACATTTGAATTTGAATTTGATAGGTTCATGTATCCTTATCGATGGTTTGACAGCTCTACTGGAGTCACAGGATGTGCAAAAACTGTGCTACAGGATTATCAAATTGGAACTTTGGGACGAAAGAAGAGCGAAAATATATTTGAATGTATGTAAAGAATAATATCAATATGGTTTGAATGCCAAATCGTTTCCATTAAATTTGAACAAAATCAGCTGGATGAAGAGCGAATGTATATAACAAATGATCACAGGAGTCACAAAGTCTTGAATCAAATTTTGACAACATTTTCGAATAAGTCACAATCATTTACTGGAATAAGGGAACTTGCAGGGATAAGTTTTAAGCAAGACGGAGAGTGCAAACAGAGTGTCTCACAATCAAATATTTTCACGATCAAATATATCTCAATGAATGTGCTTTGTATGGTATCAATTAATCAAAGAATATATATATATTTAATATATACCCCTTATGTGTCAAAAAGTACCTAAAAATACAAAACTACCAACAATTATAATTAACCGAATAAATAACTTGTAATAAATAATACAAATATGTACAACAAAGATGGTTAATTTGATTTTATAATTTTTGCTAGGCGAAGGTTTCAGGGCAAAGAGGGCACAAACAAATCGTTAAATTTTAGTTTTACTTCACGCTTTATCCAAATTAGTTAATGAAAAGCACAATATAATATAAAACCTATTCTTATACACATTGTTATAATATTTAATGTAGTCTCTATATGTAGTAGAGTTAGTATAAACGCACTTTGTATTGATTATTCGCATACTAACCATATAAACTACCTATATTTATCTATATAAAATAAAGCTCTTAGATATCCTAGAACTCACATCTGTGTTGCTCATTTACTGGCTGGCCTTTGAACTCAATATTTGGCTTAAATCTGGCTCACTTCAAGGTTAATTACCAAAGTTTCTTTTGACCAACTAGTTGGCGCTTTAAATTAATTTCAAGCCTCAACTTCAAACGACTGAGGTTTTCCTCAACGAAATCCATTGCCCGTTTGGCTTCCCCTCTTTTGCGGATACTGAGCCTTAAATATTTTGGTAAGCAAGTCGAACTCTTTGGCCAAGTTGAAGGGGAAGAGGAAAAAGTTGCAGGGCAAAACCAGTTAACTAATTTTCCAACATTGACTGATAAATCCGCCGGGAGATGCGACGGGCAACGGTACATTGGCTGTTAAAGCAGCCATTCAGGATATGCCCCAGGTCCTGCGAACTGTTGCAGTTCCCCCGTCTGTGTCCATATACGTTCACCGTAAATTTCCTTTTCAATCAAAATGTGCTTTCATTCAATTTGGAAGGCAGCGACGGGCATAAGTAGCCGCAGCCAGCACTTGTGGGGGGAGTGGGAAAAAAGGACGAAGGCAAGTTTGAACTGGTGCCAGAAATCGGTGGCGCCAAAGGGAATCTATCGTGGTTTCGATGGTGCATTTAGAAAAAGAAAAGTAGGTGTAATTTTTTGTGAAATTAGTTGAAAATGCATATATTTTATTTAAACATATCAAAATATTCATATATTTTTATACTAGAACCATAAATCCACACATTTTACTGATGATATTTTTAATTCTTTTATTTTTTTTTAAGCTGAAAAGAAATGCTAAATTTGTTGGGAATTTACAGTCAACACAATTTCATTTTTACACATAAAATGCTTTAATAAACTATGATGAACTACAATATTTTTTATAGTGCTAAAGGGCATTGGAAATATTCGCATAGAATTTCCACAAAGCCGACGGACACATTAGGAACTGACCCAGGAAGGCGATTGCAAAACGAACTGACCGATAGCCGGTTCGAAAAGGGATTCAGAGATAGTCCTTTCGGCCAGCAAAAACACCGCAAGGATAGTTAAATTATTTGCCTGCCATTTCCCTTTGTTTCCGTCCTATTTCTCACTCACTCTCGACTATTTTCCAAAAGTTTTCTCAGCCACTTCTATTGGTCTTTTAAGTTCTGGCCAAGGTCGATGGTCAGCCATTGATAAACTGTAAAGAAGGAGGCATTCTCAAAGGACTTTCAAGTAGGTGTTGCAAACTTTTAAGGTTGCAAATTTCTTGGCTGACTCTCTGACTTTCTTTTTATTATCTTGAAATCCAGTTTATTTAATCTTTGCTTCGACTAGTGGTAGTAACAATAGGTCAGAGCTGAGTATTATTACTTTACCTTCTGCAAAATATTTCAATATGCGAAATACTACTATAGAAACTATATTAGTCAAGCAATTTTACACCCCCATAAAATCCGGAAGATCGAATGTCTGCTTCAATAAAGAATTCTCTTTACAATGCATTTCGGATGATGTGCATTTTTGACTTATTGATGGGAGTCTGTCTACGAATTGCCACTGGCCGCGCAAAGTGCTTTTGTGCCATTTTTCACTCCATCCGGTCGGATTCCTTTGGAGCACAGCTATCAATTTTGCACCGATAATGCCTCGCGTCAAAGTCAGTTGGCAATAAACTGGCAAACTGCAAATGCGACTAACGAGTGAATTCCATTTTTAATTTCGCCCCGCGCTTTGTCTATCTCTATCTCAACGCCATTTTGTCTCTGCATCGTCTCTCTTTTATTTGCTACTGAATCTCCAGGACCTCGTCGCTCTGCGTTCTGGCCAGTTTCAAAAGCTTGTCAGCGGAAAACGTAAACTAACGACATTTTCGTTTTCTTATTTACACAATCAATTTCGTGCTTTTGTGATACTCGTTCTCGGGCAAAGGCAGGCAATGCTGGGACTGTTGAAATGAAGAGTCCTGTGAGTCCGACTGCAAGTGCTCCTTGCACATCCTTCTTGCCATGTCGGCGACATTGCGTGTGGATACATATCCGCTTTATCCCCAGACCTTTCTCTTCTTCGCAGATCCTTTTTGAGCGGATATCTTAGGTTTGGGTAATGCTTGTGAAGCGAGAACATGGATTACTTACTTAAGTTTAAGAAATTAAATAATTTATATAAATTATTATTATTATTAAATTATAAATTATAAATTGGTACATTAATTTAGAATTTTGGTAACTTAATTAATGGCCATTATGTATGTGTATCTAAAGGAAAGCATTTTCTTTAAGAAATATTTAATATGATTTTAGGAAAACATCTTATATAAAAAAAAGAGTATTTCCCATTTCGACACTTTCAAATCGTTTCTCGCTTTCGGGTTTCTTTACTCGCGTTGTATCGTTCAGTTGCTTTAGCTATAACTACATATATAGCTATAGTGACGATGGCAATGGTGTTGCAGTTGCTATTGCAGTGGCTGTTGCCGTTTGTGCCGCGAGGGAAATTGTCGTCAAAGCGGAAAAAATGTCACATTGTTGTTTTAGCCATCATGGAGATGAGGATGGAGTGGAAGTTGGTAGGTGGGTGGGTGTTTGGTAGAAACAAATGTGGCAAAAATAATAGGAATTATAAAAGGAGTGTCCCGAATTGAAAATATTTAAGTAGAGTCTTTTCTCATAGATGAAATTTATATGGGTAATTAGAAGTGGGGCAATATCTTGCAATTTAAATGTGAGTAAGAAATAATATAAGCTTGGGACTTTAATATTTTACAACGAAGTATTTTATTATTATTCAGTTTTTATAAGTAATCGAACTCTAGTCGAATTCTTCCATCAAAGAAACTTGATTCTACCTATTGGTATGCCTATTTTTTGGACCTCTGCTGTATAGTGTTTTGGGTGATATGGTAGCTACTCGCGTTGTATGCGAGTGTGTGTGTGCCAGTAATAGTTCTAGTTTTGTTTCGCTCTCCTTCAGCCATTTCTGACTGGCTCCTTCTGGCCTCACCTCACCCCATATCCTTGATGCAGCCCTTTCAGTTTTTTGTCCTTTCTTTTGATGTTGACCGCATTCGTTGGCCCGTTTCGCTGGCTGAGTTCGCTTTTTGGGGGGCTGCCTTTATTGTTTATGCAACTGTCAGCAGTTTTCGCCACCCGTTCGAAGCGAATTTTCCCGTACCTAAAAAACCCTGAACACCCGCCTCCTGGCGTATCTGGATTTTCCTCAGCATGTGTGGAGGTGTTTGCTTTGTATCTCTGTGCGACTTTCATATTTGTTGTCATTTCGAATTGTTTCAATGACTTTTGACAGCGAGCAGATTAGCTCGGCGACGCCTCTTGCTGAATTTTCCAACCCATCTCCAACATTTCTATATCCCCCTGGCGATTGTCGGGGGAAATCAGAGGTGTGTATATTCCGATCCGTCTCTGTTACCTACGAGGAAAAAGTTCAACGGATTCGGATTTGGTGTGATTACTTTAAAATTGTTCAGTCTTTGTCTGAGCTTGATTGAAATTGACTCTTATTTTAAGACGTTTACACAGCATTTCCTTGAAGTAGAATAAAGAAATACAATTTAGGCAAAGTAAGTAAAGCACACTGAAAAGGTCAACGCTTTTAAATATATGTAGAATGAAATGCATAATTTATCATTATTATTATTATTACACAAATTTGAAGAACATTTTCGATTATCCTTGGGAACCTTTGCCTCCCCAGCTTTATTATATTTGCAGGACTCCGTTCAGGCCTCTGTTTTTCCGCAACATGCTAGCGATGTAGCAAAATAAACCAATTATAAAAAGCCATTTCGCATGTCAACAGAGTGAACGCAAAATTAAACTAAAAAGTGAAAACTAAAATTAATTAAATTATTCTCGGCCAAGCTATGTCACATGTGGCGGTGGTCCAGCTTGGCTGCAACTCATCAATAAACAAAATTTATGCGAAGCGGCGTAACGCCATCGAAAACCAAGGGGACGTTTTCCAAAGAGGCGATGCCAAAGCAAATTAAAGATAGCCACACATTCTGCGAAGAGGGAGAGGGGCCGCCTAAAACAATGTCCCTGGCGAGCCTGACGACCAACCGAAATTTCAGCCACCCAATCAGCATATTTAAATTGTGTTGTGTTTGGTGATTGAAATGCATGAAGTACGACAACGTAAATAGGACAACGCGCCACTAGTTAGAAGGACACCCCTCACACTGAGGCACACACACACATCGAACTGGTGGAAGGACACATTGGCAAACATGAATTTTTACCATGTCGGTGACTCTGCGGCTGCGGCTTCTACCCAATGCTCCATCTCATGCCTTTCTCCACTTCGAACTCCCGCTTTCCATGCACACTTTAATGGCCCACAGTTCTCCCGGTTAGGTTGCAATTCCTATGCACAGTGCATAAAAATGTTATTTAAAGTATTTGGATAACTTTAATGATTTAAAAATATTATATAAAAATTAGTTATGCTTTGTTGTAAATACAATCAGAAGAGAGATTGAATCGTTGCTTCTTTGTTATTATATTAAAATTTGTAATAACAAATTGCTATTATTTTGTACTTTTCAGTGTACCCATACACCCATTCCGGTTTCCTATAGCCATTGCCATTCCGATTCCGATTTCGATTCCGATTCGTCGTCGTCGTCATAGATCGATGCTGGTCAGCAGTTTCGTTTTGATTGTGCGATTTTCTACTTTGCTGTGCATTTTTCCTTTCATTCATGCTGTTTTCCTCGGTCTCTCCGCCCTTTTTTTTCCCGTCGCTGCTTCCTGTTGTGCACATTTTTTCTCAGTTTCTCTTATTTTTTTCTAGTATTTTCAGCGGTCAGCCGCCGTAGAGCTCTAATTGCTCGGCAGCGGCCAACAC